ACATTAAAACTTCTGAAACATAATATTATACATGTATTTTATTGATAATCCTACTTTATTAACCACGGTTTAATAAACATTAATATTCAAAATTTCAAAATAACAAGTAAACTGGTCAACATAATTTTAGGTCCTAAAAAGCAAATGATGATGCTATATTAGAAAGAATATTTTGCTTGTCTTTGTTCTAAAAATGTTTAATTAGTAAAAATTTAATGGAACGAACTTGACAGATCATTTGTTTCGGTCTCTGCAAAATGCCATTTAATGGTGTACAGTAGTGAAAATAACTTTTATTTTTTGTACGCAGTGTATGTTTGGTATGTAAACCAAAGTAAAACAAACAGCATTAAAAAGTTATATGTTATCCAAATACAAATCCATATTAGAATATACTTTTAAAGCAACATTTAGTTTTGCATTATGCACATAACCTTTTATTTTAAACCGCTTTGGATATTTAATATTTCCTATATTATTCGAAAAACAAATATTTACTTTTGTTTATATATTTATACATTTTTCATTTGCACAACAAATAATTTCTGCTCTGGTTTCAAATTTTATATTCAATGTATTGTATAATGAATTTATTTATCCGCCACAATACAAACAGGTATTTTTAATTAAATATTTTTATAAACTTCTTTGCTTTCGTGTCTATTTACTAATTAATTAAAGGAAGTACTGTAAGTCAATAAGTGATTTATTTTTATTTTTTAATAATATTATTTATCTCCACGCGGTATATAATTTAAACTTTATTGTTGTCAACATTCGATAAAGAAATACCTTGTTATGGCCTAGGCCGATAAAAAATTTTATGAGGCAAGTAATTAGTTCGATTTTTTCTCGCTAGGGTATTGTTTTGACAAATTAATCCTTTTCTAAGAAATTAACGTACTAAACTGGTTTAATTTATTTATAATAAGCACTAATTTGTTTGTTTTACTGTTAATGTTTAATATTTTTCATTAAATTATTGTTTTAATTTGCTTTAAGTTTTCAGTGAAATTAAATGTTAAACACAGCTTAAACATTCCAAACTACCTATTTTTTAAATAAAAATTCAAGCAAATTGAAATTAGATACCTACCTATTTATTAAACAATTAATTGAATTCAATGTAATAGCAAAAATCCATTTCTACTTGCTAGGTATTGTCAAACTATTGCTGCTTCTAAAATGAGATTCTAAAAGGTTAGGCCGCTTTGAGGTTTAATTAAATTGACCTATATAATTTGCTTTGAAGATAAAATGTTGTATGCCATTCGGCCAAGAAGTGCCTTTTTGTGCTTCGCTCTATTGAGCTTAGTACAAAAAACCTTACTTCTTAACCTAATGACATAAATATCTATTGCTAAGGTTTTTGTGCCTTTCCTTTGGTTATTAGTTAAGTTACCATTTGGTCCAATTTAAGCCCTTAAGTTGGTGATCTTGGATCGCTGTTTCTAAGATCTTTGTAGGTGGGGTTGCCTTTCCAAACCTTTTTTGTGATAGTTAATAGCACCCTATCAAAAGATGGTGTACAGATTCTCTGTTTTCCCTGCAGAATCTGCCCTTTACCCATCATTTTGTAATGATGTGTTGGTGTTCCTACATTATTCTCAATCCAATAGGCGTTTGACTTGGTTGGCCTGTCAAGGTTGTAAATACTTTTGCCTTAATATATCACAGAATGGTTCTGGACCAAGTTTCTCTTCCTGGAAAAGGGTACAACAGTTTTTAAGGTTTTTTAAGAGAAAGCAGTATTGACACTCATAAGGTATCTTTGCTATTTTCGATTTGTCCTTTTTCAAGTATAGGCAACTATATGATTTCCCTGGATACTACCTCTAGGGACTTCAATAAAGTTGCTAATAACAAAATTGAACAAAATGATTGTTTGATATGTTGCCCTCGACTGAATCGCATTAAAACTTCGAAAACTGTGAACCAAACGAGAAAAGACTTTTAAACCGAAACGGGTGGGAGTTCGACGAGGGGCGTCGAGGAATGTGGGGCGCGACCCGGCGTCTGCGTCGTCGGTATCGGAGGAGTTTATATTTAACATCATTTTTCACTCCGGTAAGAGTGTATAGTGCATGCCAAACTAATGTCTCTCGGGGCATAAAGTTTCGCGATTCTGATTGAAGTAAATGAAGACCAAATGGCGTCTCTAGTCTCTGCGGGCGAACGACTGCAAAATACGTAGACAGTGTATTGCTCCTAGTGTGTATGTGTGTGTTACTTTTATTATAATGTCGATATCTTAAGTAGATGTATTTTTTGTATTGGATTTAATCTCCTGGAATAAGCCGAAAAGAGAAATGATTTTGACAGGGTCGGCTAACCTGAATCCTGCAGAGAATCGTGGGCAATTTTATTCGGAAAACATGTTGTCACATCGAGCCGCCAACCTGCCAAATGTTAAAACGAAAAGGCGAAGGCAAGGAACGGTTCCCTCGAGATTAGCGGTATTGCGTTGACCTCTGTTCTCTGTCACCTTCAATATAATCCTGCAGGATTTTTCCTGCTACATGCCAAAATTACGTTACTCTGTCCAAAGAAATTTGAGGTTTTTATGAGTCAAATCGGAAGAAATTGTGTTAAACTGTTTTATCATTCTTGAATAGTAATGATGACAAGCACATTTACAATCTAAAATGATTATTTTAAGTTTTCACTTTACCTAAAAACTGCACCTTTGGGTTAATTGCTGGTCTCATTACGTAACAGGAAGCCGCCACTCCAACGCGTCGGCATAATTAAAAACTCTTGACTCGCTTTTTCGCCAAGAAGTCGCCTCTTGTTACGCAAAACAAGAATTCAATTGTGTACATGACACAAATTCCTTTCCTTTCCACCTCTAAATACGTAGTAAAGAACAGCGCCGCGTCGAGCTCCACTCAAAAAAGAAACACAACATTGGCTTTTAACATTATTACTTTCATGTCAAGCAGGGAAAACGGTTTCTTGTTTACGCAATAAACGGTTTTAATGTAATGAACATTTTTCTATCGCTGCAACAATGCCCAGAATACGGTACACGATTTTTTACTTTATTAGTTCGAAAAATAAAAGTTTGTATAGCAGGGTTTTGTTATAATAACGAAAAATAATGATGATGATAATATGATGACAAGTTAAAAAACTAAGTCAATAAGACGAAAAGCTAAAATAACAAACATTAAGATAAAAAAGCTAAATAGAAAGTAGAAAAACTGTAATAACAGCTTAGGAGTCTAAAGGAAAACATTAGAAAAATAGTCTCAAAGCCTGAAGAAAATAAAGACCTAAGCTCGATGTTATATTTAATGGAGGATTAATAAATGACTACCCAATAAAAGTCATGGAATATGTTTTTTGTGAAGAGGATATAGACGATGTCTATGATTGGATGTAGCCTAGAAACTACCAAAGGCATAACAGAACAAGTAAACCAGGTCCTGATAGGATTATAGTTAAAAGCAAAGGCAAGAGTGAGACATCAAAAGCTAGTTAACATCAAGTCATGACCTAATCTTTAACACATTCAAAAACAAAATAAATAAAAATGTTACAGAAGCAAAGGCTAAAGCTAAAGCTACATATCAACAAAATCAAGGCTACCATAGAAAACGAAAAGATAGTGAAAGCAATTTCAGATGCACTTGATCTTACAAGATGTACCTACTAGGTGTGTACAGAAGAAGATTGAGCAGAAGCCTGCATTGTGGAAAGGGGTCTCACAAGAAGAAGAATGTAAAAAGTTTGTTGGTTCAACTATTATCAAGTTTTTGTAATAAAATGTAATAAAACAGAGTTTTTTAATGATGTCAAAGCTAATAAACTACTGTATGTGTTCTCAGAAAATTAAACTTACCCTTTATTAAATTCAGCAACAATGTGCTTATTTTTATCAATGTAAACCGCAGAGGTAGCATCCAGCAGGAAAAGCGGAGAGAAGTGAAAAGAACAGTTTTCATAGATGGAATTTCCTTTTATGGCAGTAAAATTTAATATTCCTTTAAATTAGAAATGATTAGCTAAGGGGCAATTCACATAAATTGAATCTTATGATTTTCCAAAAAGAGAATTCTCCCCTAATTATGATAAAGAAGAATTATGTATTTTGCCCCCGTTTCGAGCCAAGCGATGTTTTAAAAGGTTTCTAAAGATAAAGTGGTTTTTGTAATGGAAAAGTTTGTCTTGGATTGTTTGAAAACATGTTTTTTATAGACAGGTATAAAACTGAATTAAAATTTTGCTTTATCACAAAATATTAGAACATTGAGTGAAGTAAAGTAAATCACCCCCTGTTTCAGTTTAATTGAAGGAATCGCAGAATTTTATTTTATTGCTTTAATCTGGAATATTCCACTATTTCATTGCATACTTTTTTACAGTGGCGTACCGTTTCAATATCACAGTGGGCCCGATATCATATCGTTTTTATAGTTACAAATTTCTGAACTTATAAAATGCCCAACGATATGATATCTTCGCTTCACTCTCTTAAAATGAATTAGTAGTTATATTTTACTTATTGTCATAGCGAAAAAGTCACTAATAATTAGTAAAATTAGTAGATTTAAATTAAAAAACCCAGTCGGGGTTTGATCTCGAGTCTGTCGCTTGCCAAGCGGATGTCATAACCAATGAGCCATCAGTCACTTTTATAAAAATCAGTTATATCTGTATATTTATGGTGTATTCAAAATATTTTGGACCCATCGTGTCTATTTACGCTTAGATGAATATTTAAGCCAGATTTATTGCAATGTAGCGATGATGTTCGTTATTTCTTTTGGCTGTTCGGCTTTCTTACGTAACAACAAGCAATATTGCCAACCTTTAATTATTCCTTTCTTCAATTGAGAGAACCGGCGATTTAAATTTAACATTGATAGCGATTTTTCGAGATTCATGATGATTTATATCTGTTTTAATTTAAACCTCTATTATACGTTTCTCTAAAAAATAGAGTAATTTTTTTTTAAAAGATGTTATTAAAAAAAAGTTAAAATGACGAAAAGCTAGAAAAACTTTAAAATACTATAATCTCAAATTTTACATCACAATAAAAATCTTTTATAAAAAGAAATTCACACATGATTAAAATTTAAAATCCTTAAAAATACAGAATAAATATTATTTATATAATAAATACTTTATAAAAACACACAAAACAACTAGTATCAATAAGTCAACAAAATTCGACCACTGTTGATCTTGTCCTTCTTCTTGATTATCTTAATTTTGTCCTCAAGATCTTCAACCTCAAAAGTTATTTTGCTTCTGTCTTCATTGTACTCAGCGTTCTTGATGGCCACCCTTATGTTGAGCGTGTTCTTCAAAATGCTGACAGTGACAAAAAGTGCATCTTCCTTTTTGAAAGGAAGATCCCCAGAAAGTACCAACTGTCTTCCGTTTGGAGATTTTTCAATGATATCTTCGTAGAGTTTGTTGTTTTCTTGTAGGGTTTTCAGATCTTCTTGCATTTGTATTAGCTGCAGAGTTAGGTTTGACAATATAACATCATAAATAGGTTGTTTTTCTTTGGGTTCTTGTGATGTGCTGCAGCTCACATTATGTTTTTCTGAAGTTGGGTCTGAAGAGTCGTGTGAAGTTTCTGATGAGGAATAGTAGCTGTCTGGTCTTGGGCTAATGTCTAAAATTAAAAATATTTTATATATTTATTTATTTCAATATAGTAATAACGATTTTATACTATATTAAAATAAAAACATTACCATATTCAGCTTTTTTGAAATGCATCGCAACTTTCCTCTAATATTTTAAAAGCTTTTTACATAATAACTAGGAATATCGTTCCCTATATGATCCATGAAATATATTCACAATATTTTGCCATACACCAATTTTATCAGCATTTTGCATCGAAATGCCATTTGAAAAGAATAATTTCACACCTATTTAACTTAAAATATACATAAACTGGTATAAGTTTAAAAATGGCATTTTACCGCGATGTACTGTAAAATTTTAATATAAAATGTATTTTCTTATAAAATGTTAATATTTTTGTGTATTAGTAAAAATAAAATACGTTTCTGTTTTTGACGCCTTTTTCTTTTTATTTGTAAATATAAGAGACGCTGAGCCGCTTAAAAAAGTGATGTCTTGCTAGTGACAGTCACATATTTAAAGATAAAGTGAGTTTACACTTTCATATGAGCTGATTAAATATCTGTGTAAATTTTTTTAACATTGTAGTTTTATTTATTTTTGATGTGACAAGCATTTTTTTAATGAATTGTTTCACTTTTTTTTTAAATTTTGTTGAGTTATTTATTAATTAACAAAAATTATTATTATTTAATTGTTAAATACCAATATTTTATTAAATTTCTTTTTATAATCCAAATAATAAAATAAAAAAACAAAACAAAATAAATTGATGACGTAGTCGAATTTACCTTTAAAATAATAATTATTGTTAATAGACAAACATTGATTTTTATAAAAAACATCAAATTGTTTTCAATAAAAAATTTTTTACTAAAATTAATTAAATATTTATAGTGAATGTTTAATTTAAAATGTCATGCCAATAAAAAATAATAAATTAATTAAAATAATAAAAAATAGAATACATAATATTTAATTATGTACAGAAACCATATTTAATTACACTGAAATAATATTTAATTGTGTATCAAAATAATATTCAAATGTATATTGTTTTAACAAACGAAATTATTAATAGCAATGTTTTATGTTAAACATAATCTATAATAACCACAAAATATATTTGAAAATATTAAGCCCATATCTATTTACAATTTTTATTTTAAATAGCATATACGAGGTGTGTTCAGAAAAATTTGGGAATTTTCGTTTTTTGAAACAAATATTTATTTATTCGTCTACATTAATGTTGTCGCCTTCAAAATAGTACCCATTGGATATTATGCACATGTGCCAGCTCTTCTTCAAATACTCGAAACACTTCTTTCACACGTTCTTTCAGCGATGCGCTTTTAATGTCATCTATGCTTGCAAAACGACGAATTTTAGAAAAAATTTTGCTGCCACGCGTTTCATACCCAAAACATTTGAAAAAATTTCATGGGATGAGCCAATCGATATACCAACATCATCAGCGACTTCTCTGATGGTTTATAACCATTTCTTCCACTTTTTACATGTTTTTATCGGTTGTTAATGTGCTTGTGCGTTCGGGGCGTTCGTCATCTTCAACGTCTTCACGGCCATCTTGGAAACTCTTATACCACTTGTAAATCTTGTTTTACTTATAGCAGACTCACTATAGGCCTTTGTTAACATTTCACAGAATTTATTTCATTTTTTAAGCAAAATTGGATACAAATTCTTTGATCCATTTCTTTTAACGAACGAAAAATCGCCGAGCTCATAAAACACGTCTAACCTTAGCGGCTGCCACAGACAAAGTAAACAATGAAAACAGCTAAAGTTTTTATCATACTTCGGGGGCATGTATACCAACATAATAAAGAAAATTTTATGACAACCGGACCCTCCGAAACCGCGAAATTTAACAATTCCCGTTATTTTCTGGACACACCTCGTATACTTTGGGATAGCATGGTCGAGTGTTGACAACAATAAACCTATAGAGGATAAAAATGTATTATGAAATATATTTGCTTACTTTTGACTGTATAAACCGCGTCATCATATCGGTATCCCAAATTGTTGCGAATAACAAACAACCAGTAGTAAATGGTGTCTCCTTCACTCAAATAGGTTCTTCTATTTTTGTAGACCCATTTGCCCATTTTATTCTTCTTCAGTATATCCCTTGAGAACTGCCCAGCTGCCAGACCTTCCATGGGTTGGTTGAGATTGCCATGGAAGGCAAAAAGTTGTATACCCTCTTCGTCAGGTATACTAACCTCGAAGCCTCTATTGAAGACGGTAAAGGTGGGTTTGGGGACGTAATAAGAACTGTCTTGCAGGGCACAAGTACTAAAACCTAGCATAACTACGAATATCACAGTCGAGAATAACATTTTACTTTGAAAACAACGTTCTGTAGCACCAAACTTTTGTAGAATGATAACCTCACTGCTCGTCTGCTATTTTAATATACTGATTTTGATGAGGGAATTTCCCAATTTCTCACTACATGCTCATTCAGATGAACTTGCCACTCGGACTGTACCACTGCGAGTATACACACACCGCTTGAAGGCTTTGACCTTCAATAATATATTCTTCGCAAAACTTGTTATCCGTATTTATTTATTGTATCATTTACAAACATTTGTTATGGTTTTTTTCTCTCGTAATGTGTGACGGTATTATTAATTGATTGGGAGAATTAAATTTCGTTTTATTTTGGATTTTGTTCACAAGTAGTATTGGGTACTTTTTTAAAACCTTTTGATGACGAATATTATGTCATATAAATTTTGTAATGATTAAATTATTTAATTATATGATTATAAAAACCTGAAATTGATATAAATGGTCTTGCATTTCTCAATTGCATTAAGATCCGGTAAAGCATTATAAATTATAAATTGGTGTTTTGATATTTTTTTCTTTATTTTTCGACGTATTTTAATAAAATATGGGACATGCGTTAGTGTTTGACTCATCAAACTTTCAATTTTGCATTTTTTTAATTTACATATTTTTCTAGAAATGCATTTCCTATAAATCTACTCACACGTGAGGAAAAATAACATACGTAATACATAAATAAATCTACCTATGTATATATTAAATACCTGTGGTTTTTATATTTCCTATTACTTAACAATGGTTAGGTCTGTTCTATTATTTTTAATTTGAAAAGATACACTGTTACAAATTATTTTGTGGATGTTTAACAAATTATTTATTAATTATCTATTTGGGTCGAATTTATTTTTTATTAATGTACTAAATTTGTGTCAAATAAAATAATTTTATGTAAATATACATTATATTCGTATTTAGTTCACAGTTTATTAATAATAAATATTGCTTATTAATAGTACTCCGTGATATTTAATGAAACTAAATGAGTTTGACACTTTTTCCAGATTTTTAACCGCAATTAACTATTTTTACAATGTTTTAAAAGTTTAAAACCTATCCTCCGTGACTGTTACTCTTTCTAGGTTAACCTATATGTTTTCAAATATCTGAGGTCGTAAAAGCATACTAAAAATATCAGTTCACTAAGTAAATTAAAGACATAAAGCAATCGAATCAAATATAAAATATTAATAAAAATTAAAAGAGATAATTTTTATAACCATTTATTTAGGTGTTACAAAAATTGATTCTATCCTCCGTGAATCTGTTTTTGCTTTAAATTTTATGCAACGGATGGCGCTTTAATCATTTTAAATAAGCAAAAACCTCTGTTTACGACATTATAGATGCATGTGATTCCTGAAGGTCAGTTAGAATTTATATGCAGATGAGAATTTTGCTGTTTTATAATTCAAAAGTTTATTAATTTGCTATTTAAAAACCTATGTAATATCTCAGTAAGTAGATTTTTTTTATAAATATTTTATGTATGTACAATTGTATTTTTAAAAATATTAAGGTGCCAATAACTTATTTCAAATATACAAAGGGATGTTTAAAAAAAATATACGAAATCCTATCCTCCGTGAAGCTATCTTCTGTGAAGCTCTAATATTCAAAATGTATGATTTCTTAAAATTCTTGCATTAGTGCAGAACCACTTATGTTATGTTATTACTAGAACTGGTGGCTTCACAAAAATCCCATTTCAACAGTGAAACAACCAAAAATAAAATATATTCATTTTTACTTCTCAATATATTCACCCAGTTGCCAAACTTCGTAAATAATGATTATTATAATTATATAAGGCACATTTTCTAACTATTAAATATATGTTGTTTGTAAGAAATATGATATATTAATAATTAACAAATGGAATATTTTAACGCGTCGTTTTACATCTTTACATCTTTGATGATAAGGGTGGTGCTCTGTTTGTGCTTTTGCATTATTATTCATATAATAAGGAATTTTGTATTGCGTATAAACTGTTGCAGTGATTTTGTAAGTACAAAATATTTTTTTTCTATGGTGTTAAATGCTAACAAAAAAAATAGATCCTTAAACATGGACATAATAGATTCCAAACTGTTTTGAAGATCTGGCTAATACTTTTAAAGGTAAGTTTGTTTCAAGATATTTACAAGTGTTGACTAACCCGTTAATAATAAATAAAGTATATTTACTATAATTTCACTTGTTAATTATTAATAAGGAAATCAGGTTACATTTTTATTATTAATACACACAACTATAAAAATGTTTTATATTGCCGCATAGACATACATTTCACCCAAATCAATCCCTTTAATAAAAATAAATAAGTCTCAATGTGTCATGATAAAACTCGAGGTGCTAAATTATTTGATGTTTTCTCGAATGCGAAATGCATTTATCTCCCGATTGTCCGTCTGTTCGTTGCGAAACAAACTCCATTAACGAACGTGGCCCCCCTTTCCCCCCTTATAAGAATCGGACACGACAAAAGTTGGCTTCTTTTTCCCGCGAGACCTAGGCCCGCAAAAGTTAAACTCATGACAGCCGCGCGTTATACACGTTATATCTTTCGAACGAGCAGCGTAAAAAGATAAAATTTTATTTCCCACCACCTTCCTCATAGCCGAGTATGATTTCTGACGGAATGTGTTTTAGAGTTTCTTTGCCTTTTTGTTCTTTTGTTCTTCGTTCTCAGGAATATCCTATCCTTTTAAAAGTGATAGAAATTGTTAAAGGGTTATCACGTTTTTATTTCTTTTTTAGTGAAAAAGTTTTAAACGCTTGTTTAAGAATTTAAAGAAATTATTTTATGGGTTATCCATGTTCTATATGCTCTAAAGTGTTAGGGTTTAAGCTGTAAGAAATGTCAAAAGTACATAGTCATATAATTAAAAAAATAGTATTATCAAACAAAGTTCCCTTATACCTTAGGGAATTCTAAAATTTTGGGAATTCCAAAACACTGCAAAAATTATAATCAAACACTTGATATCTTAAGTAAATATATCAATATTACAAGAAATTTTAAAAAATGAGTAAAACAAACATATTGTGATAAATTCGTTCCTTCAAAAACCACAATCTCTCCTCCCAAAAAAAGAACCTAAATTGCTTCTGGGTTTTTTGCTTACGCACTTGTGAGATGCACTATGAATGTAGTTTATGTACAGGGAAAGTCAAAAGTGTTTTGTTATGTTATAACACAGTACAACACGATTTCCCTCCCATGAAAAATTTTAGCAGATTTTGAAAATAGAGGTAAAAAAAACGTACCCGTGTCTCACAGTTTCACGAGATCACGTCATAAAAAAATTTTAAGCCGTCATTCCTATTATTTATGCTTATACAGATTGTACATTTTTTACTCGGTTAAAAATATATTTTTTTGTAAATATTGTATGTTTTTACACAATACAAAAAACAAATATAAAAAAAGTTTATATTTTGATTTTTTTTAAATAATTTTTTTTTATTTTTTTTTTAATGAAACACATTTTTGTATTTATCTTATATTCAATACATGTTGGAATAAAATCTTGGTCGTTTAGTTTGACGATTATACAGCTCGTTCAGACTAAAACCGAATATATCTATATATATATATATATGTGGCGTGGCCTCGCCTCCCTCCAACGCGCGACACAGTAGCTAAGCAAATAGACTGCATCGCTAATGAGATTTTTTGCATTATTATCATTTAATTTTTTAAGTCCTTACCTGCTCGACCTTTCGTCATGTCGTTTATCACACAAGCAACTGTGACGCGCCTTGGAGGGAGGCGAGGCCACGCCCCATATATATATAGATATATTCGGTTTTATTCTAAACAGGCTGTATATTGCTTCAGAATCTCGAACAATTGACCAGCAATATTCACCCAGCAAATGCCTGACGTCTTTTCCCTTGAAGCGTTTTTCAATTGTTAAAATGTCTTGGTGAAAACGTTCGCTATGTTCGTCACTAAAATCGCCCAAATTTGGTGGAAAATAGTCCAAATGAGCATGGAGAAAATGTATTTTCAGTGACATATGTACTTTCATGTCCTGTTTTATAAAATGTACTTTATAACCCGAACTACAGGGAATAAATTCAGATTCCATCTTGGAAAAAATGGTTGTACTGGGTGTTAAAGGTCTTTTACTTTTATCCTCACATATGTTTTCTGAAGGAGCAGTTGGATAATCTTCAGATCGCACTCTTGCGAGAATGACGGATTCTACATCGGCGTAATCAATTTTCTCTCTAGTATTGTACCGAAATCCAAAACTTTTTAATTTTGACATGCAGAAATAACACTGGTCAGATGCGTGTTCGGTACGTCGCGACGGGTCGAAGCCAAATTGTTGGTGCAATAAGTATATATTTCATACTGTGTGTTTTATCTTGCAATCCATGCAAACAACGGTAACAATAATCGCATAAAACCTCTGGTACATACCATAAGTTTGGTATATACGTCACCAAAAAATAGTCTTCAAAAGCTGTTACTACACTTTTTGTAATATTTCGCATATGGCTTGGAGGTGCAAATAAACCACATACATAACAAAAATTATTTCGATTCGGTCACTGCATTTTTACTTTGATTTCAAATGGATGGTTAACTCAACAATCAAAATTAATATAAAAAATTTATCGATTTATCGCTGCAATAATGTTTTTATTTAACATGCAATCAATTAAGTGCATGGCGCATTAATATAGTACATTAAAACAATGAAATAAATGTTGACCGACCCTCGTATAAAGATTGTTTTGAAAACAATGCTTTTTATGTATAAATGCCGTAAAGATGTGTAAATTTTTTGTTTTTTTGCTGTTTCAATTGACTTCGTATACTTAAATACTTTTTTTTACTTAAATTAAATATGTTTTGGGTACACTTGCTTTAAGACTTAAATCAATTCATTTAAATATCTTTTAATTTTTAAAAAAAATGTTAATTCAACAAAGCTCAATTTTTACAAAAAATTGAATAAATAAAAATTTTAATCACCCGACTTTAAAGCATTTTGATTGGCTTAAAATTGAAACATTTTGTTACTTGGTTTAAAAATAAACCGTTTGATATATATATAAATGTGCAAAACTCTGTATAAGATTAAAATAATTTTAAAATGCATCTATAATGGTTGCCTATCCATTTAGTAAATATATATATTTTTAACTATGCAGTCCAGCTGTTATCGAGTCTATTAAATTATGTCGCGAATACTGTGAATAACA